AGAATGAACGGGTACATTGTTGTGATGGAAAAAATTCCTTGGCACAATTTTCCTGGCCTTTTTCTCACTAATGCAGGTTTTAATTTTCTTAAAACATCTTCCCAATGTACCTTGTGATCAACCTGTCTCCTCTGAGACAATCTATCGATTGTTGTTAGGGCCCATTGAGTTGGTTCTGACTCAGTGACTTTATGCACAACAGAACGGAACACCGCCTGGTTCTGCGCCATGCTCACAATCGTTGCTAAGCTTGAGCCCCCTTGGGAATTCCAATAAACAGTTACCATAAAAAAATAAAGAGGAAGACACCCAACAAGATGGATTGATACAGCAGCAGCAATGGCTTAAACATACCAATAATTGGGCAGTATTTCGTTCTGCTGTGTGTAGGGTTGCTGAATCGGAACCAACTCGATGGCACCTAACAATATCATCTTCTGAGCTGACCTCTCTGCCTGAATTTAACTGGTCCAGCAGATCCCTTGAAAGTAATTGATTTGACTGGACCTTTCCTTTGAAGTCATCATACCTAGACAAGGACAAGTGTGTTATTAAGAGAATGTGACTGCAGCCATGCACTGATTGCTGGGACTTGTTTCAACACCCTTTGTTTGGAATAAACCCATACTCTGAACTTAGGGTGTAGTGGTTCTGTAGGATAACTACCTGACTGCTAACTATGAGGTCAGTGGTTCGAGCCCACCAGCTGCTCCAAGGGAGAAAGATAAGGCTTTCTGCTCCCGTAAAGATTTACAGCTTTGGAAACCCTACACAGGGTCCTGGTGACTCAGAACCCACACAATGGCACTTTAATGAAGTAGAACTCTATTAGTAATATTTTTTTACTTAACTTTGCATATACGCACTGCTGGCATGGTGGTTACAAGCTCCACTAGTAAGCCAACGGTCAGCAGCCAGAACCCACCAGCTGCTTTGCAGGAGAATGCCTTACAGCCTTGGAAACCCTATGGAGTTCTACTCTGTCTTTATAGGGTCTCTGAGTTGCAACTGACACAATGGCAATGAGTATGTTGTTGTTGTGAAGTGCCATCGAGTCTATTCCAACCCATAGTGACCCTGTAAGGGTTTCCAAGGAATCGCTGGTGAGCTTGAACCACAGACCTTGCAGTTCAAATACCTTAGCCCACAGCACCACACCGGGGCTCTGGCAATGAATACATAAACATGTTATGTGTTGGTAGTTGTGTGCCATCAAATTGGTTCTGACTCACAGTGACTCTATATAGGGTTTTTGAGGTTGCAAATCTTTATGGGAGCAGAAAGCCTCATCTTTCTCCCGCAGAGTGGCTAGTGGACTTGAACTGCTTTGTGGTTAGCAGTCCAATGCATTACCCACAATGTCACCTTTATATGATTATATATATGTTGTTATGTGCCGTGGAGTCGGTTCTGACTCATAGCGACCCTGTACAGGGTTTCTGAGGCTGTAAATCTTTACAGGAGCAGAAAGCCTCGTCTTTCTCCCCGGAACAGCAGGCAGTTTCAAACTGCAGACCCTGAGGCTAGCAGCCCGATTCATAACCACTACGCTACCAGAGCTCCTTATGTGTATATATATAGATATACAAACTAAGTACATACCAGCCGGGGATTCTGATCAAAGTTCCTGGTGAATCAAATTAAAATGGAGATCTCCAACGAATGCTGGGCCTACAGATGCTGAAAGGAGACAAGAAAGTTCCCCTAGAGCTGGCGTTCAGACTGGTCTTCTCGTCTCCTAAACTGAGAGACTCAATTTCTGTCTGTTAAAGCCATCCACTTGTGGAATTTTTGTTAAAGCAGCACTGGAGAACCAAGGCAATGACCATTTCTGGGGAAGGGCCTGGTGGGTTGGGTGGGCCCTGCTGGCCAAAATCAAAAGGCAGGCCCAAGCCACCCTGCTCCGTGCAGCCAGAGGCCCCCAGCTCTGCTCTGAACACGGGTTGGTGATGGTTGGGGTGCCTTGCAGAGAGGAGTTAGAAGTGCACACCCTCAACCCTGTGGGGCAGGGACTGGTGGGAGAGTCTTCCGGTCTGGAAGAGGGGCAGATGTGTGTGACATCAGGAGTCTGTAAGCTCCCCCCAAGAATGAAGCATTTCTATGGACCAGCTAAAGGTCTCTGGCGTCTCCAGGGGCACTTTGGAAGCTGTTACAGGGAGAGGAACGGTCAGGGTCCCACTGGGTGACTGATTAGAGTTTCTTGGGGGACACAAGAGAGGCCAAGTTCAAACCAAAGGGGTATCAGTGTAGCCAGTGGCCACTTGGAATGTCTGTCAATGGCCAGGTTGGAAGGACAGAGAACATGCAGTCAACTCCTATTGGTTTGGAAACCTCCCAACTTCCTCCCAGGGTCCTTCAAGTTCCTCCCAGGCCCACTTGGCAGTTATCTGGGTGGAGATCTTCTTCACTGGCAGAGCCAATGAAAGCACAGAGAATCCCTGGGGAACCTGAGCTGCAGCTGAGGCCTGCAGGTGACTCTGGGTGGCTTCAAACAATCATGTGGTGCAAAGCCACAACACCATATGATGCCAATGGCAACACCGATGGCAGGGCAGACTACCCCGGGTTCTCTTGGTGAAGCCCTCCAGTGCCAGGCACACATGTGAGGCTTAATGATAGTGGAGTCATTGTATTGTCAAAGCATCTTCAAGCAGAACTTAGCCCCAGGCTCCAGAGGAACCACCAGTAACCCTCAGACATCACCCAAAGCCTCAGCCAGAATGAGGTCCTGCCTCTGGCTTCCTTCTGCTACCCTGCCCGGCCCCCAACCACCACCAAAGTGTCACCAGGCCACAGAGTAATCAGGCTGTTGTGCTGGCCAACTCAGGGAGGGAGAGGCTCAGCTAGCCTTATGTGATGTACCATCACACATTCTTTGCTCAAGCTAAACCATGGGCCCTGGGACCCTGGGAAGGAAGATTCAAGGCCAAACTGCATCTGTCTTTCCCTTTTGCAAAAGTCCCAAGACCAGGACTGAAGAAGTCTAGAGGAAAATCTACTCTACGTGTAATGTCTTGAGATCAAAACCGTTATCTACTCAGGTGACCTTCTGAGGATAGGATTCTCTCCTCCTGGTTGTGGGGTCCACACAAAGAACTGGTGGTGCCCATCACCATCCACTCCCTCCTTGAGGATGGTCTCTGAGTCTTAGGTGGGTCGCTCTGGGGAGGAGTTGCAGGTACTAGGGGCGGGCTGTTCTCACTGCTGCCTCCTGGCAGCCCTGGGCCTTTGTGGGAGTCCCCCACTCCAGCCCCTGCCCCCAACATTGGTTCCCAGCACCGAAAAAAGCAAGGACTATTTCCTGCCACCCGCAGCACACAAAACGCCAAGTCCTCGGAAAGCAGACACTTGATCTGAGCCCTGGGCGCTGTAACACTCCTGCTGATGGGGGGATAAGATGACCCAGGTACAGCCCACCTGCTGCCTAGACAGATTGGGATCAAAATGGTCTTTCAAAAAGGGAAAGCTGTCTCAGAAACTTTCTTTAAGGACGGAGAGAGTTAGCTAGCATGCTTGAGTGGCAGTCTGTAAGCAAATTCAAGACACAGTTTGATTTCAGTAGTTTATTCTGGAGAAGAAGCAGTGTGAGAGGTCGGCTGTGCTTCCGGGGCTCGGGGCCGACGTAGACATTTCATCTGGTTCAAGGCTCAAGTCTGCCAACATGGTTGGTAGGGCATTCTGACAGCTCCGCCCTCCACCCCCAGGCAGGCCCCCAAGCCTTGAGCCTCAGACAACACACAGGGCAGCCCAGAGTGAACTGCTATCTTAGACACAAAACCACCCTCATGTCGTATGCATCCCACTGCCCAGCCCAAATCTCCAGGGTCTGACTCAGTCTCTCGCTCTGCCCTTCTCCCATGGGCCGATGACTGAGCAGGACCCTGAAGTGTGACTGGCCAGCCAGGGGTCTACTGCCATTGGGGTTGGGGGAGACTAGTGGAGAGGGTGTTTTCTTATCTCTGGGGCCATAGCTCCCATGCGCCCGGCGGGCTGAGTGTTGGGCTTGCTGAACCATTGGCAAAGCGTACAGAAGAGGGATTGGGCTGCTGAGATGTGGGGATCGCAGCGGCCCCGGGCTAGGCGTGCTCAGTGTGGGCAGCACGTCCTGCTGGGAAGAGCCGGTCCCCACACCTGCCCTCACCCAGTCAGCTGTTCAGAGCTCCCTGGTCTCAACTGCCTGTTACAGACAAGGAGACAGTGGGCCGGATTCTTGGACCAATTAGTCCAAAATCACATCGGAGACGGGATCAGTCTGGGCTCCCAGTGTAGCATTCTCCTTCCTGGGTTCTGGACACGTGGGGCGGGCCCTCTACTGGTCTTGGGCCCCTCAAGAAACGCTGTGGCCAGAATCCTCAGCCACTCAGCCAGCGGACCCCAGGGACCCTAACACGAAGCGAGGCAGCCTCCTCCTGGGAGTCTTTCTTGTCTGTCCCTTTCACGGAGGCTTTGTAATGAAGAAGGAGCGAATCATGGCCCGGGTGCCCCCGCCCATGGAGCTCCCAGGAGGGAGCAGAAGCTGTGGCCCCCTGACTCCTGCTCCGGGGCGGGTGTCAGGGTTACCCCAGTGGCAGGACTGGGGGCATCATTCCTGACAGCACAGCAGAGGAGGGTCCCAGGTCTGGGTTCGGGATGGGAGCTTAGAGAAAAGAGAAAGAAGGGGAACCGCTCACTCCTGGGCTGTATGGTCCACAGCCGTCAGACACACAGTCACATACACACTCACAACCACACACACGTGCACCCTCCGCCTCACAGTCAGGCCTAGTGTTGAAAACACAAGCGTGTGTAAACTCAGTAGCGGGATCTGCAGCAGTACCAACCGGGGGGGCCATCCCTGTTCCGCGAGATCCAACCTCACGGCGCTCTCTTCCATCTGCCCCCGCCTTCTCATTAGATCATGACATCAGAAAATCAGGTTAAACAATGAAAAGAGGAAGAATCAGACAACGGGAAATCTGAGCAGGAGCGTTGCCAGTGTGCCCCATGGCCCATGCCGCCCTGTGGCTATTGGGAGGAGGCCTTGGTGGCCAGGGAGGCCACGCAGTGCTGCTGGAAGCTGGGGGACACGGCGGTGGTGCAGCCGAGTCTCTGGTGCTGCAGCTTGGCGGGGCCGCTGGGGCCTGCGCTGCTGGCGGCGTCGGCCTCGGCCTTCCAGGGTGGGTCTTGGCCCATCTTGCTGCTGCAGCAGCCGGGGCTGGCGCTGTATGTCCGCTCACCCGCGTGGCTGCCCACCTGCTCCGCCAGGAGCCTGCTGTGCCTCTGTGGGGCTGTGTCCCCGGTGTCCCCCGCGGCCGAGCTCTGGCCCTGCAGGACGGTGGCGATGTGGTTCAGGAGGTCTGTGAAGAACTCGCTCACGCCCTCATAACCTGGTGGGGAGGGGGGAAGCACACGGGCCATTAGCCAGGGTGGTGGACAGGTCTGGGGAGGAAATGACCAGAGAGACGGGAGAAGGCCAACAACAGTGGGGCCTGGACACCCACCCGTGTGGGCTCACCCCTTCACATAGGAGACTGTGGCTTAGAGAAGAGACGGCCTGAGTAGATGGAGACAACGATCAGAGCGGGGGCGGCAAGGTGGGGAGCCCCTTGTGTTCTGAAGAGTGGATTACCTTGTTACCAAAGGACCCAGTCAAGCCTCAGCTTCTCCACTTATGAACCAAGCATACACCACCTCCCAAGGCAGAGAATGCTTTGCTGGGCACACTGGATGGGGCTGGGACATAGGCATGGGAGGCCCTTAACCCGCCCGTAAGGATCAGGGTCATGGGACATGCTAAGAAACTCCCCACCTGCTCAGCTGCCTTGGTGGAGATTTTGCTGACTCCCCCAAAACAGCTTCGAGACAGGCTGAAATCTGCCTTCTGACTGGCAGAGCAGATTAGAGGGATACAAGCTGGGAACAGTGAGCTGCCCATCCACCACAGTGGGTCTACTACACGCTCCACACTACGCCCATGGAAGTGCAGCCCAGCTGGGCAGCGCCAAGCGTGGGGAAATGTGTGCTGTCTACAGGAAAGGCTGCGAGCCAGCGAGACTGCTCATCTGTCCTCACGCCTGGGCAGAACCCGGCACTGAGGGGCTGAGTGTCTAAGGCCTCCCTCACTTCATCCTTGGAGCCACAGCTGTCCCGTGACCACACCACAGATGAGCAAGAAGAAACACGGAGAATTGAGTGATCGTCCCCAAAGAGGATGGGAGCCGTGGACAGGCAGACCAACGCTGGGCATCTCTCAGCCTTGGGGTTGCGCCTGAGGATTAGCCCCATTTTACAGAGGACGACACTGAGGCTCAGAGAGGTTTCCTATGTGGGACTGGAACGAGCCCTCTGGTCTGGTCTGGGGATTTCTTCCAGCCGTGCCAGCTCCTGAGCCCAGGTCTCCTTGGTAGGCACAGACAGAGAAACACTTAGGGGAGGAGATGTGCGATCAGCGTCAGCGTTAACAACAGCGGTTAAGCTGTTCCCTTAGCAACCGCTCCCCAGACAAGCCTCCAAGCACAGGGCGGGGTGTGCTCCTGGGGGTGTGGAGGCAGGAGGCCAGGAGCCAGGGAAGGCCCTTCAGGTCTGTTCCTCGCTACCAAAGACTGCGCAGGCTGGACTGAAACCCACTCTTCCGGAAGGCAGGCCCTGATGTTCCCAATGTACACATGCGAACACCGAGGGGCAGAAAGCCTCGCAGTCACGAGTGAAGGTGTCTAGAAGGGGATGTCTGGGACGAGTCTTTCTGCTTCTCTCCCCACCAGTAACCGAGCCAGGCAAACCCAGCTGAGAGCACCAAGGGAGGAGATGCCACCTTTGGGCCTTGGCAACCTCAATTCCCAACTGTCACAGCTGGGTACTAATCCTCCTTCCTGCCCTGGGCTGGGCCAGCATCTCCCGCCTCAGCCCCATCATCAGACAGTCTCCCATCCACCCTCATCTGAACCCCGGATGGCACTCTCTTAGTGAGTGAGCCAGAGTCCCAACAGGCTGTTTGCTTTGGGGGTAACGGTGACTCCCCGCTCCTCTCTCTCTAGAATTTCTCTTCTGGTGGCCCCCCACTACCTTGGATTTAACATGATCACACCCTCGACCCGCTGGGATCCCATCTCACTGTATCTGAGCCTCACTGAACCCCAAGAACATAAACCGCAGGGTCCAGCTCCAGCCTCACTCAGGGGAAAATCCAAGGGGTCCCCAGCCAGTGGTCCCAGCTCCACAGCAGCCAGGGAGCCTGCCCATCCTTGATCTCTGCTGGGTGGGCTGGGCCTCTCTGTGTACTTCCCCCATAAGGTGTGGACTCATGTCCAGAACAGCTCAGACACACAGCGGGTCCTCTGTGAATACCAAAGGAGGCAGGAGCCTGCAGGGACAATGAACCCCGATGGACTGCTCCACACTGGTCACTGGCCAGACTGCGAGGTCTCTCCCGTGAGAATCCAACCTCCTGAGGGGGAGTCACCCCAGACTGTCCCCAAACCCACAGAGACTCAGCCAAGCAGCTTTACCTCCAGAGCAGGCATGTGAACAAGGACAGACTCAGGAAAGAATGAAGGTAAGTATTTAACACACACCCAAGAACTCGCACATGCGCGAGGTGGGAGGTCACACTGGCTGTGTTGGGGCCGAGGGGAGTCACAGCTGTACCTGCCTCTCCTATTTACCAAGTGCTACAGTCCTGGAGCCCTGGTGTGGCACTGTGGGTTAATGCACCAGACTGCAAAGCCGTTTGAACTGCAAGGTGGCAGTTCGAGCTCACCAGCTATTCCGTGGAAACACTATACAGGGTTGTTATGGGTCAGAACCAACTTGACGGCACATAACAACACCAACAGTCCTGGGGTGGCACTGTGGGATAAAGCATCAGGTTGGTTTGAACCACAAGGTCGGCGGTTCAAACTCACCAACCATTCCTTGGAAACCTGATACGGAGTCGCTATGAGTTGGCACTGACTCAACAGCTCTAACAACAACCCACCTCTCAGCTGATGTATGACAGACTACGAGCAACCGGCCCAGCCTCAGTGTCCTCATCTGTGAAATGGGACAACTCTCAGACCCACGCCGGGGCTTCAAGGATTGGGGGGCAGCAAACAGGGTGAAGCTGGTCCCCACGTGGACACTGCCTTGGCTGACGGTTCATGTGTGTGGGTGAGAGGAAGGTATCAGGGGCAGTCTGCTTCAAGGCCAAGAAAAACAACTAAAACAGGAAGCAGGAAGGCTTGGCAAAGCACTCCTCCGAGGCTGGGCCACCCTAGACAATCTGCTCAACCTCTCTGATTCCTTCTCTCCAAATGAGGATAATATCACATGGTGAAAGCCTAACCTGACTCCTGATCGTACCAAGTTGCCATGGAAACGAAGAAACAGTAACAGTAACCCCTCAACAGTGCTGTGTGCTCAGAAAAAGCGAGAATGTAGCCAAGCCCTCCTGTCCCCAAGCCACACGTGAACTTGTTCCTAGAGGGAACACTTGTCCTGGCAGCAAGAGTTGGAGTGGGCCTTTGAGCTGAAGATGATGCAAACTGGTCTTCTCACCCCCAAACCCTGTGGGCTGGAGGTGTTGTTTCCACATCTCTAAGGAACCCGGTAGGGGAACAGCAGTGTTAGAAAAGCTGTCAGGTCACTCAGTCTTTATGAAAACCAATCAGAACTTCAAAACTGTCCCGGTCACTGGTGAGACCGACGTTCAGCCTACAACAGACATTCACAGAGCTCCGAGCAGGAGGAGACCCTGAGGCGGGTGGGGGCTGCCCTCTCTGAAGTCAGAAACAGCTGGGGCAGGGGGTGTTCCAAGCCTGACTGAGGCGGGTCGAGGGGAGTCTGGGTGTGTGCTCTGACTGACGACACCCCAAGGTGGGCCAGGGCTCCCAGACATCGAGAAACCACGCCCCCAACGGGGTTGGCATGCCTCGGAGCCGTGTTTACTCTTATGCTCTGCCTTCGTCAGACTGTCCAGCTTGTCCCTCACGTGGGACAAGGGCAGCGTGAGCAGGGAACAGAAAACCCAGCATGTCCCGGGGACAGTTTATAGTTTACAGTGGTTGCAGATGTGTGCACGAGACACTTCCCGGTCTGTGGGAGCACACATGTGCGTCAGAACATGTGTGGTGTGTGAGTGCATGTCTGGGGTGGGGTGGGCTGCATGTGTATTGACTGTGTGTACTCACTGTGTGTGTCTGTGAACACATGTGTGGTACATGTATGAATACATGGCTGTTAGATATGGAGCAGGATCTGGCTTTGTGCCTGCAGGTTGGGCGTCTGACATGGCTCCTGACCAGCAGGAAAGCAGAAGGTAGCCACCACTCAGGTGGACCCAGCCTGGCTCTCAGCTCCCAGAGACTGTGAGGTCTCCCTCCCCAGGCAAGGCCACAGCTCAAGGGAGCACAAGGAGCCTGTGCCCTGTGTGACTTTGGATGGCCCCTTCCTCTCCAGGGGCCTCAATTTCCCTACAGCTGAACTGTGAGGCTGCATTCTCTCCAAGGTCCTTTCAACTCTTTGGATCGAAAGGGCCCAAGGGGTGGTGTCTGAGGTTCACAGCTGATGCTGATGCCTCATGTACATGTGTAGGTCCCAGGTACCCTCACCGCCTCATCAGCCCACTTCCCAGGTGGGTTCAGCACAGCTGCCACAGGCCCAGATGCCCATAATGGGGCCAGCTCTGTTCCCCAACCCTCTAGCCCAAGGATGGGTGTGTGTGGATCGTAGGCTCTCACCTGGGAAGGCGTTGATGTCGATGACAGCGTGTTGTCCCGTCTGGTTGTTGATGATAATGTCAATTCCAAAGAGCGACACACCCAGCGCCTGCCGCAGTGCCCGGGACAGCTCCCGGATGACCTCGTCGCACGGCCGCTCAAACACGCCCTCGATCCTGTCCAGCTGCCGACACAAATACAGTGTCAGGCCCTGGGAGTGGGAGACAGCTGCCTCGCCACCCACAGAGGCCCTGCGAGGGGCCACACAGCCGTGCCTGAGGGCGAAACGTTGCTTCATGTGTCCTCAAACAGCCAGGGGTGCATGTGTCTTCCTTGGCCTGGGAACGCTGAGGCTCAGTCATACCGCTCAAAAGGCAGGACATGGGCCCAGGTTTTCACCCTCTATAACCACAAGTCTCCAGGGAGGTGGGGGGGGAGGGGAGGGAGGCGTGAGTCCAGGACCTGGAGGATGGGGAGGGTGGGGTCCTGAGAGATGCTGTAACAAGGGCGGGCTCAGGAGCATGATGCTTGGTGGAGACACCATGTACACACACATGTACGCTATGGTTCTACAGATAGGGACGACTGAGAACAGGAGAATCCAGAAAGAGAACACAGGTGGGTGGTCGCTGTGGGGCAAGGAGTGACTGCTTAATGGTACAGGAGTTTATTTGGGGTGATGAGACCAGTTGGACAGTTACACAACACTAAATGCATTAAATGGCACCGAACTGCTCACTTTAATGTGAGTCATTAGAGGTGATGCGAACTTCACTTCGATTGGAAACAGGCAGTGGGTTTATGTGAATCTCGCTTCAATTTTAAAACCACTTCAGTGAAGAGCTTAAAGGACAAATGGCCCTCTCCCAGGGCAAGAGGCAAAAAGGGCCAAAGGGGCGGGGGTTGCTCCAGGGCTCTGCGAGACAGGCAGGGTCCCCCCCCCAAGGGGATGGTCTCTAGGGAGCACGGGCCCCTGGCTGTGAGACCCTCACCCTTAGCATGGCCTGACCTGGCTGAGTCAGAGACTCGGGGATGTCCACTCCTCACCCCAGCAGGGCCTCAATTTCTCACCCACACAAGGGGCCATGTGCTGGTAGGCTACACTTCCCTTTCCACTGTGACCTAGTGTTGGCCAGGGGACCCTGGGGAGTGGGTCACACTCAGCGGGGAAGGGCCAGGCCAATAGGCTGCTCCTACCCCACAATCTCAGAGACAAGAAAATCGATGTTGAGGTACTGACTTTCAGGGGGGCAACTTGGCTTATATCCCACAATGCTCCCTCGGCCACCAGGCCTGTGCTGTGGGGACCCTGGCAGGCAGGGTGACCCTGTCTGAGGGCCAGGCCACAATGGCCTAACAGAACTCTGGGAAGCACCATGGGGCCCCCTGGGCTGGCTAGAAGAGCTGACACTGGGAAGATACAAAGGTTCCTCTTGCCCAGGAAACTCAGGGGGCTCCCAGAGACCCCTGTTCTCAAAACATTTGTTTCTCAGCACTGGGCATGTCCCTTCCCATCTTGAGGGATGTGGAGTTCCCAGAGCCCTGCCCACGTGTGCACCAGGACTGACCCGTAGCTTTCCAGGGCCAAGAGAACAGAAGCAGGAAGTGGGCAGACTGCCTGGGCTCAGGCCAAGGGTGGGGTATGGAGAGGACAGAGGTCTGATACATGGGGGCCTGCAATGGTTTCTGTTGACAAACACCAAGTTTCCACAGACAACCGGGCCTGCCGTGGTCTACGGGAGAGCGATTCCAGCTGAGGAAAGGCTTGGCGGGTGGACTGAAGGGGCCCTGGGGTGATGGCCCCTCAGGAATCACTAGTGAGGTATTAAGTCCTGGAATCTCTGGAAGAGCCTGCTCTGGGATCAGACCGCCCGGTGTCACTGAACTGGAACATTAGCCTTCATTCGGGGCACACTGAGCTGTTGCTCCTGCCCTGGCTGAGGTGCCCGGATCAAGGCTACTGCCCCAGAGACTCAGTGACTTGTCCACAATCACACGGCTCGACTGACACCAGGGAGGTCTGAAGCAAAGCAACACCGGTGGTGGTGGGAGAGGGGGTAGATGCCCACTAGCCTCCAACCACAGGTGCCCAGCAGGTTCTTAATCAACGGGGTGGAGCAAACACAGACAAGAATGAGGGGAGCCGAGCCAGTGTCCCCAGCCCCATGGTGTACGCCAGAAGAGAGGAGGTTAGGAGTGGCTCTTCAGATGCCTTGTGACCGAGAGGACAGTTAGGAAAACCGCCCTGAGGGTGCCCTCCCACCAGCTCCGAGGGCAGAGGGGAAACCAGCAAGTAGAGGGGCAGAGAATCTCAGGAACCTCCTTGGCATCCTTCCACCCTATCCCTGTATCTTGGCCCCCACCCAGACCCTGCGGAACATGGGACATACCGCGGTCAACACTGATGAAGACTCCGGCTTCGACACATTGTGGCTGTTGAAGAAGATGGACTCTCGGTCTGAAAGAGGCAGAACAGAGGCTCCATTAAAAGCGTTCTACCACCCAACACCAGGGGGCAGCACCGCCCCGCCACCCTGAGGCTGACGGAGCCTAGGGGCCTTGGAGGCTCCACCAGGGATGATGGACATGTGCCCAGTCAGGGCCTCCACTCCACGTTCCTTCCCACAGCACAATGGCTTCAGCTGCCGTCTGATGGTACAGCACCTGAAGCCCCCATTCCCAAAGTGTATCTGTGGAAACATCACCACAAAGGGGACAGGGGTGCTCAGAAGTAGGTACTGCAGTGGGCCCTGGTACCCAAAGCTCGAGGAGTCCTAGGGCACCGAGGTCTGGTGTGTGGCATTCAGTCCTGCATGCTCATCCCGAGGGACTCTTTCGGGGTGGCCCTCCGGGAACCCTCTATGAGGAACGGCCAAGCAACCACTTGGCAATGAGCCCCTCAAACACAGGGGTTCTGCTGCCTCTCAGCGTTCCAAAGCACGGACTTCGGAGGAACCCACCGAGAAGATGGACAAATATGTCCACCTCCTTCACCCACACACCCTGGGCCCCACCACTTCCCAGACCCCTCAGTCCTACGGTGGGCACCAGGGGGAACCCGATCCAAGAATAATGACAGCAGTGGTCAGTCGTGGGCTGTGAGGCTCAGCAGGATCTGTCCTGGGAGACCACGCCAGGGAGACAGAAGGGTGGAAGGACAGGTGGATGGAAACACGTTCTCAGCACTGGGAAGTGGGGGGCCAAGAATCATGGCACATGGAGCCTGGGGGATGGAGTCATGGCCAAGGGAGCCGGTCCATTGTCTCCCCCGAGAGTGGGAGCGATGGTCATGGGTAGTGAACCACTGGCTCTGCAGCCTCAGCTCGGGAGCCCATGTCCACTGTCCCCACCATCCCCACCAGCCCGAGGATGAGGCAAAGGCGGCGGCGGCGCGCAATCATGCATCAGGAAGTGATTCGGGCGGAGGCCAAGCAGGCGAGCACCAGATGTACCTGTTAGTGGCGCGCACAGGCCCCTGGCCGCCCCACTGTGCCTGTCGGTCCTCCCGCCGCTGCGACCAGAGCCGGACCAGACAGGGGGCCCGAGAGACGGTCCTGGGGAGGAGCCTGGGAAAATAGACACCCCGCGGGGCTTGCACCAGGTTGCCCGCCCGATCTCTAGCTCTGGGGGCCAAGAAGAACGAGCGTGGCCAAGTCCCCTGGGCGAGTGGCTGGAGCGAGGCTCAGAGCCTGGCAGGGGCATCCTAGCCTTCTTTGGGCACACCCACCTTCCCATCTTGAAACCCAGTCCAGCCAACAGGAAGGAAAAGAGCTGCCAGAAGGGGCCCGAGAGATGCCGGAGGGACAGGACAGAGCAGATCACGTCACCGAACAGCTTCTTCAAAGGAAGACCATCAAGAGTCTGGCCTCTCCTCCCAAAGGGGCAAATCTGACCTGGGGCGCTCTGGAGGAGGGCTACTCAGCAGGGCAGCCAGAGACACCTCTGCTCAGCTTCCAGCTTCTCCCCAGGCCGGCCGCAAGGGCCTTTGGGAAATCAAAGCCAGAGGGTCAGAGCACAGCCCTCTGGGCACACCCCCTCCCTGGGGGCAAAGCCTTTGTTTACACGAGCACCTTGTCTTTCAGGGGTCCCGTCCAATCACTGTTTCCCCAGACTAGTCCTGAGACACACAGCACACAGGGGAGGAACCCTCAGCATCACCACAGTGAGGAGCTGGTCCCCATTCACAGATCAGAAAAACAGGTTCCAGAGGGGGAAAGTAAAGGCAAGGGGAACCCCTCGGAACGCCAGCAGCTCCCCATGAGACAGGGCGTTGAGCCACCATCTTCCGCCCTCTTGGCATCCTGTGTGTGGCACTCTGGGGTTCCCCTTCTGTTTTGAGGGGTGTGTGTGTCAGTTCTGTAGACGGTGGGCCAGGTCTTCGGCCCATTTCCACACAAACACCATATGCTCAGAGTGACCACTCCCGGTGCTTTTCCCAAAGGACTCCCAAACCCAACGGTGCCCCAAGTCTCACGTCCTCTGCTCTGGGACTGCATCTCTCAGGCCACAATTAGCCCTCTATTAATCTCCTTCTTGTTTGTGGCTTTTCATACTCCTGAAGGCAGGAAACTCACTTGACCGTCTTTACCACGTATGTTGCATACAGTAGGTTCACTAACCTCCACTGAATTTATGACATGGGCTGCTAACCTTAGGGTCAGCAGTTTGAAACTACCAGCTGTTCCATGGGAGAAAGATGAGGCGTTCTGCTCCCGTGAAGATTTACAACCTCGGAATCCCTGTACAGGGTCGCTATGAGTCGGAACCGACTCCACGGCACATAACAACACCACCAGGTTGCTGTTTTACTGTGTGCCATCATGTCCTCCAGGACGGAGCACAGCTGCCGCAGAGGGTTTTCTAGGCTTCAATTTCCATGGGAAAGGACGGCCAGGTCAGCTGGGCTCAAACTGCCAACTTTTCATTTAGCAGCTGAGTGTTAACCATTGTGCCACCAGGGGTCAGTAAACTGCAGACCAAATCTGGCCCGCCACCCTGTTTTGTAAATAAAGTTTTATTGGAACAAAGTCATGCCTGCTAATTTCTCCCACAGCCTGGCCCTCTGCAGGAAAGGTTTCTGCTGTAAGCTCCCTCTGTGTAACTCCGAGGGATAAAGGTCCAAGACAGAGTATGAGAGATGACCCTGCATAATGCTGGGCACCCAGGGGACTGCAACCTCAGAGCAAAGGTACATGAGGAATAAACCCACCACACAGAAAGGAAGATAAAGAGCCCTGGCACTGGATGGAGAGAGGAAAGACTCTTCCCTGAGAATCCACCCCGGGTAGAGAATGCAACATTTGTCAACCGGTGTCAACCCTAACCCTAAGATCTCAACTGCAGTTCCAGCCAAGGGCCAGCGCAAGAAGAAACTACAGAAGGACGCACGAGGTACCACCGGTTCAATGGCAAAATGCCTGGGTTTCATTCCTGCCAGCGCATTTTGTGGGTCACCACTAGTGGTCTGTCAGTCTGTCCGTGGAGGCCTGCGTGTGGCTGGGATGCTGAACTAGTTTCAACAGAGCATCCAAACTAACCTGGACTAGGAAAAAAGACCTGGGGAGCTATTTCCAAAAATCAGTGAGAACTCTATGGATTACAATGGTCCCATCAAGTACCAGCCATGAGCAGAATTCTCTGTTCTGGTGTGCATGGGGTTGCCATAAGCCAAGGGCCTAACCACCACCACCGCTTAGAACCAAAAGAAAATAACAATCTGGAACGAAGACTTGAGTCACCTGTCTGCACCTGAGGTCCACACAAGCACGCCCAAAGAGCTACCTGCACTCTGTGTAGATAGTTGGCAAGGTGCGGCGAGGCTAGTAGGGGCCAGACCCCTTCAGTCCCTCTCCATTGGTCCAGCTACTGCCCCACCATGCTCATCCCATCATGCAGTGCCACTCTATGTCCCACAGAACACACGGACACAGTAACAAACCCCATGCTGGTTCCTTGGCCTGGAGTCCAGGATCACAGACATGAACCAGCTTTTGGGCTGGTGGGCTGATAAACCCGTAGAGAGTTATAGAGTTTACCCGAATACAGGGAACCTTTCTCCTGCCTCTCTGCATTTCTTGTGTGTCTGTCAGGTGTGTGTGTGGCCCTGGTCTGCATTTTTTGGTAAACTGGCATCCTGGAATCAGCCTGAGAGACAACACCCTTCACAGATGTAGGCTCAGGGCCCAAACAAGAAACTTGAAAGGAAAAGGGGTATCTGTTGGGTGGGTAAGAAAAGTGGTTTCTTTTAGAAGTACAGTGATATTGTGTGTTGGTTTTTTGTTGTTTTTTAAAAAAAGGACAATATACATTACAGCGGGGTCCTGGTGTGTCTCTGTGGGCTAATGCGTCAGACTGTAAAGTCATTTGAACTGCAAAGTCAGTGGTTCAAGCTCACCAGCTGCTCCTTGGAAACCCTATACAGGGTCGCTATGGGTCGGAATCGACTTAACGGCACTTAACAACAATAATGACATACATTATAGAAGCCCTGGTGTTGCTGTGGGTTAAGCACAGGGGTGCCAACCGAATGGTGGATGGTTCAAACCCACCAGCTAGTTCATGGGAGAGAACGATCAGGCAGCCTACACCAGGGCTCTGTGAGCTGGAATCAACTTGGCAGCACTGGGTGGATGGTGTAAGTTGTAATTACTCTAATTTCATACAGTTTCCATAGATTTTAAGCACGTCATTTTTTAAAAGTAAGAAAATAAAAAGCTTTGGTGCTGTTTTTTTAAAGTCAAGACTTTTCTTGCCCACTGCTGGCAAGATTTCCTCTTAGCCACCATGTTCGACGCTGCTGAGTCATTTCCCACTCACAGTGACTGCAGGGGACAAAAAAGTGGCCCCGTAGAGAGCTCCTGGGGGATGGGGGTGGGGATGCAGCTGAGCACGTTTAAGTATTTACACGACCACTTCTTGCCCACATATGGTCACATACAAAAAGACCCCTCCAAATACCTGTCCCTCCCTCCTTAAGATCATTCTACCATCTCAGGGCCGGGGGCTGGGACCCAGAGGTCCTGAATCCTGAAGCCCCCAGTCCCACACCTGGTTGGAAGGCTCGGTGTTTCCAAAGTGGCTGCTCCCTGCGTGGTATTAATGAAAGATAAGCGGCATCTGGGGAAGATCAGCTGTGAGGGGAGGTGAGAACAGCTGAACTTCATCCTCTAGGAGTTGTGGTCTCGAGGTACAAGGTGGGGATGGTGACATGGGCCGCAGGAGGAGGCGTTTAAAGAAGGCCCATCTGGTTGGCGAGACAGGGCTGAAGCAGCTGAGGCTCTCACAAGCCACTAGGAAAGGCATGCTTCCCCTCCGAGAGACAAACGTCCACCACGTTTATGAAGCGCGGCAGGCCTCTTGGAAAGCTGCACTTATTCCAGAGATGCCATAGCTGTTCTGACGGCTTCTGGGGTGCACCTCCGGGCTGCCTTTGGCACCAGGAGAACACTCCTTGGAGCAGCCCCTATGCAGGAAGACCTTCATTTTTGAGGTCATTTTTGAAAGGACCAAGGGTCACCTGATGCCAGCCAGGTGGTCGAGGTGAACAGCTGGTGTGGAAAGAGCTGTGGACTTGAAGGCCCTCAGCTGGATCTGCAGGCTGTTTGTGAGAACCACCCAAGATAAACCAAATGGCGTCGTGTCATGCAAACACCCGTACCATGTCTCACCTGCGGGACATGGAGGGGCTAAAAGCCTCTGCCCTGGGAGGCCTACAGATAATAAGTTCTGTATCCCAGCATTGCTGATGTCTAACGGGGCACGGCCATTTCAGCAGTAACCTACCCTCTGTCTCCTCATTTGGAAACGGAGCAGTGAGGAAGCCACGAAAACACAATCAACATCCTGTCCCGCTCATAAGATGTGGGGTCCATCCATCCCTCCCTTGTTACACCGATCAACTGTGAGCAGACCTGTAAGTTTCCCGACTACAAGGGTCCCCCAGGCAGGGTCTCTGGCACAGAAAATATTCAGCTGTTTCCCGAGTCTAATGATGGCTCTGTGGATGGAGCCCCCTGCCATGCCTTGGGGCACCCAGGTTTTGTACTCATTCTCTGAGGCCTGTCTTTCCTTCCATTGATTGTCCATCTGTAACAATTTCAAACTTCAAACCATCTCTTTCCACTCCCCGCAGAAATAGCACAGTGTGGCAGGGAAGGGGTGAAGAACAGACAGTTGATGTCATGTCCCAGCTGTGCCCCCGGCCCAGGAGTGTCCATGGAGGCTAGAGGTGTGCTTACCTGATGTGCCCGCGGAGAAGTTCTTCAGTGAGGGCCTCTGCACCACAGTGTAAGACTCGCCGACCACAAACACCTTGTATAAGACGGCATTGTGGTTGATGAAATTCTGGACCACGCAGGGGGGCTGGATGGCATTCAGGCCCTCCTGGTTGAATACAATGGCCATCTGTGGAGAAGGGGACCAAATGCTCCATCAAAGTCCATCACCTCGGACACCGGTGCATCCAGAGCCCTACCACTGAGGCCCACAGTCTCAAACAGGGCTCACTGTGGCTGTGGGCTTTGGGGACCCTGCACCCATCAGGCCTACCAGGGAGGGCTGTGTGTGCTGTCCACCTCCAGGGGCACCATTGTACACTGCGATCTCAGGGAATGGAGTCCCTGGCTTAGGATACGACTGAGCCCTCAGGACACTCCTCGGCAGGAAGCAGAAGGTTCTGGACCCGGGGTCACAAGGCTTGGGGTCAAAGCCTGGATCAGAACAAGAGCTGCCCCTTGTTGAGTGCTCACGATACGCCAAGTCCTCACCAGAACCATTTTCTGAGTTACCTGGTATCCCCTTTGGGGTGGGCACTATTACTGCCCCCACCTTGTACAGATGAGAGAACATAGGCCAATAGAAGTGAAGTGCTGGAATGGAACCCAAGTCTGCCCTCTTACTCCATTGAGCCCCAAAACTCTCCAGGAGCAGAAGAGGACTCCCAGATGGCCCAGAGCAGCTACCCCCTGCTCTCAACCCCTCCAGGGCAAAGGTCGGGGTGAGAGGACTTGAAGGGGACACAAGAAGGGAGGATGGAGGGGCCGTTTTGAGAAGCTTTCTACCTTGGCCAAGAGGCTCGCTCGGTCTGCCCAGGGTCTGCAAAGGAGTCGGCTGACTGCCACGCTGGGGCCACAACCAATCCCTCTGCCCACAGGGTCTCAGGAAGGAGCCACCAGATACCCAGGGCTGGTTAAGACATAGGACAGGGGCCTGGACTGGCTGCCACCCCCACGTCAGCTGTCATGGAGCACTGCCCCCCACATGCCAGTGGAAGCAGGAATGCAGACTGCCTGGGAAAAATCAGGAAGTATGTATGGGGGAGGGGGTGTCCAACTGCAAGTCTCCTCAGCCTTCTGGCACATGGAAAAGAATCACACTTGGTAGGCAGCAGAGTGAACAGGAGGCTGGGGTTAGACAAGGGTTCGAATCCCAGCTCCAGCCCTGACTGCATATGCTCAGGCAGAAGGTTTAGGCTCCTTCATTTCTTCATGTGTGAATCAGCAGCAATGCAGCATGGGGTGGCCCCGGGATGCCTGGAGCTTTCTGCACAGTAGGTCTTGTTTGTTTTTGTCTTTGTTTTGTTTCAAAAAAGACAGATTCCATTGTAGGTCAAACTAGTCTGCTGGGCACTGGATTCAGAATAAAACAAAAAACCAAACAGTTCTACAAACTGACAAAAGGGGTTCTGGCAAATGAGGGCGAGGCAACTAGTCCTAGTGTGGGTTGGTAGTTCTTTGCGCATTATTCAGCCAGTTCTAAGTCCCTGCCCCGAGCTTGGGCAGGCTGGGATGTGACATGGTGAAAACCCCATCCAGAAATTGTCCGTTTTCCTGTCTAAAGCCCATCATGGGGGAGCTCCATGTGCTCACAAGGGCCGCGCTCCGGTCTACGAGGCTCTGCTCGCCACCTCTCAGGGGAGAGGAGCCCCGGGTGGAACAAACCCTGGGAGAGGGAGCGTGTACAGCCAGACTCTGACGGATGGACCAATGATGGGTGATTTGTAACCTCCACAGGAGGGTACCAGCCTCCTGAGGGGGGAGCTCACCTGGGCCCAGATCTCCCGTCCTCATCTCTGCAATTACCCAGCAGCTGGCTGCCACTAGTTTTGTGGCTCTGACTTCACAGAACACTTTCTGTGTGCCAAGGCCCCCCCCGGGAAACAGCTCTGGGTGGTAACTCCCTTATCCTTGACTATAGCTGTTAGCTCCTGGGTTACAGATGGCTGGGTCCTTTGTTCCGGGTCCAGTGGTCAGACTGGACCCAGGCCTGAGGGTCATGTGAGCAGTGCTCCCTCCTCCCACAACGACCTACTTGGATGGAGGCTGGTCACTGGGTTTTGTTTCATCACACACATGCTTACTCTCTTCTTTCCGTCCTGAAAGGCGCAAAGGGGCCGTGTGGGGGTGGAAGTGGGCATGTTGAGTTCCATCAAGAGTGAACACAATTTGGCAGAGCAGAGTCCTGGGCTGGGTCAGGGGCACAGCCTTGAGGGCACCGCCACTGCACAGAGCCCTGGGAGGTCACCGGAGGGAAGGCACGAGGCCGCAGGGAGACTGCACGAGGGAGCCTGACCCAAGTAAATGGCTGGCTTGGCAATGGGCTGTGATTCAGACTGAAGGGCCTGCCTTCTTCCTATCAGCATGCATCCTGATTAGGCACTAACTGTTCACACACACTCCGCAAAAACCGAAAACCGCGTAAACTGCTGCAGGGGATAAGTGAAAACTCGCTGCCACCCAGTCAGTTCCAGCTCACAGCGACCCTGGAGGACAGAGACCTACCCAGTGGGATTTTCCAAGGCTATCATCTTTCTCTGGTGGAGTGGCTGGTAGGTCCCCATGGCCAACCTTTTAGTCAGCAGCCCAGCACTTAACCCACTGTGCCACCAGGGACCTCACCCTCACCCCACAAGATAAACAAACTAAAAAGTTCACCGCCATTGAGGTGATTCCGACCTGACGCATAGTGACCCCACATAGGGTTTTCCAAGGAGCAGCTGGGGTGTTTGAATCTCTAATTTTGTGGTTACCAGTCTAGTGCCTACCCTACAGAGTCACACGACCCTATATAGGGTTTCCAAACAGCGGCTGGTGGGTTTGAACCACTGACCTTGTGCTTAACAATCCAGTTGCTTATCCTATAGCACCCACTATAATGAGCTAATACACCAGTCGTCAGCTCCTTGCCCAGGGACACGCTCTCCCTGTAGGCTTGCTTAGCAATGTACAGACGCATGGTGCTCATATCACATTCCTCCGCCCTATGAGGTCAACAGGACAGCCTCATTCGGGGCCTAATGTGGAGTCTCCAGGCTGGGCTATACAGTGGGAAGGGAGCCTGGTAGAATCAGCCCAGGCTGTGGTTCCTGCACTGCACTCTCTCCCCCTCACTCTCCCCGCTCCAGGGTCTGTCCCCCACTGGGAAGGGCCCACACTGCACAGCACCTGCCTTTTGTTTCCTTTCCCTGGCACTGGAGGTGTGCTTGGGAACGTTGTGTGCAAAGGAGAGAATGAATAGGTGACTGGGTAAACCAACTCATGCCAGGAGGTAGGGCTCCCCTTCTTTCCCTCCCCCTGCTTAAATCCAGTAGGGCTGAGACCCTGAGGGCCCTCAGGGACAACCAGTCTTCCTAAGGGCCTGACTTGACGCCAGCCCAGCAGCGGGAGACTTGGAGAACTGGAGAAAGCCCAGGACAATCCCATTAGAAAGGGTCTGCATGTCATCCAGGTCCTGGGGACGGACACACACTGTGTGGGGGATGTGGGGGACAGAGCCCATGCTCAGTGTTGTCTCTGCTCAGCCTCCATGGGGCCCGGGGAAGGGAGGGAGGCAGGGTGGGCGTGGGGGAGTGGAGCAGATGGCAGGTTGGGGATGAAATTTCCACTCACCTCATGAGAGCTGGTGCCATGAGCCACTCTGGTTTTGCAGACTATAGATGAGGAGAGAGAGACAGAAGTTAGATCATTCAAGCCCAGCCTAGCCTGTGGTCACCTGGGTGGAGGGACATGCTGGCTTTGTCTAACAAGGGCAGTTCTGCACTCAGGGTGCTGTGGACAGACACAGGAGGCAGCCCTCTGCCCACAGCAGCCAGGCTGAGCTGTCTGACAGTCAGGAGAGGTACCCTCCCCCGAGGTGCCCCCCGCCCCCCCAGGCACGCCGGGTGTGGTACGTACTAAACGGGAAAGCCAAGCCGTTCCTCTCTAGGAGCTGCATAGTGTTGTCCCCGCACAGGCTGGTGAGTTCCATGAAGGGTGGGGAGCAGATGCGGTCATCTGGGGGGGACGGAGAGAAAGTGGTCAGATGTCCGGCCTGCCTCCAGTCCCGCCGACCTAGCTGTCCCTTAGCCCCACTGCCCAGCGTGAGGGGGGAGGAGATAGTGGTCAGACACCCAGCCTGCCTCATGTAGCCCCCGCCTGATGCCTTCCCGAGATAAAGAGACTAAGCCCTCTCCCACCCACTAGGCCATGCTCTCCTCCCAGCCCACCAGAGCAGAGCGCTTTAGATCTAAGGATCTAGAAGTCCAGCTTGGACTCAACACCTGACCGGCAGAATTGGTCCTCTACACCGGACCAACCATCAGTGACCCTCCCCCCCGCCCCCATGAGCCCAGGGTCCTGTGGCCCCCTGGCCTGGGTCCAGCTCCTGACTCAGTCACAGACAGCCTGAGACGTGAGGCACGTTCCTAACCTCACTGTGCCTGTCTCCAGACCAGCAAGATGAGAACAGTCCCTTAGGTCAGCTCCACACCTCCCGACACCTGGTTGCATGTTTGTGTAAAATAATGGTGTTCTATGTGCTGTTTTTTCCTGTATAAAAAGGATACTGTTTTATCACCTGAATGGTAACTTAATGAACTATGCCCATTTTTCTGGTTCAGCAAGGCCTTCTCCACCTGTGGTTGGCTGGTGTAGCGATAGTCTCAGGCACAAACACTACCTACACTGCTCGGTCAGTTCTTGCCTGTGTTGAGGACTGTGCTAATTAAGGGCTTTGCAAACATCACCTCAGAGTTCCTCAGAGTAGTCCCACAAGGAGGAAATGGAAGCCAGAGAGATGAAAGCAGTTGCCCGTGGCCACACAGTGAATATTCCACAAGGACAAAGTGCCCGCAGTTGCATAAAACAATCCATAGCTCCCGACCCACCTCATCAGTCGCTGCATCTGTGAATCTTGCCCCTAAGTCCCTCTAAGCACACTAAGTGTCCTACCCTGTTCACCCTAGTTGTCCTCCGGGCACAGGTCTCATAGGCGCCTTTTCCTTCATATTCTCTGCTCCCCGTGAACTCTGGTGCCAGGCACCAAAAAGGCTAGAGGGATTCTTAATGGAAGAACAAACTGCCTTCTGAACCTCTCTGCTGAATACTTCTTCTTGTCAGAGATGCTGTTTCCATCAGACCCTGAGCTTGTCAGGAGCTGGGGACCACTCTGTGCTTCTGTACACAGGTGAGGGAAAGCGGGTTGTTAGTTGAATGGGGGGGACACCGTCCCCAAACTTGGGAACCCAACCCAAAGTCAATAAACACAGTGGCTTGTTCCCAGAAGCTTTTAAATACTTGGCTGATTAAGGAGTCAGTAGAATAGTGGTTACGAATTGGACTGCGAACCGTAAGGTCAGCAGTTCGAAACCCCCAGTTGTTCCGCGGGAGAAAGATGAGGCTTTCTGCTCCTATAAAGATTTACAGCCTCGGAAACCCTGTATAGGGTCGCTATGAGTCGGAACCAACTCCACGGCACATAACAACAACAGCATTAAACCAAGGTATAGCCCCAGCCTCATTTAGCTCATAAAAATAGATGCCAAGAATTATACAGAACATGTTTTTGTTGTTAAGTACCGTGGAGTTGGTTCCGACTCATAGCGACCCTGTATAGGGTTTCTGAAGCTGTAAATCTTGACGGGAGAAGAACGCCTCATCTTTCTCCCGCGGAACAGCTGACTTTGAGGTTGGCAGCCCATCTCGTAACCACTATGCTACTAGAGCGCCTTATATATTAAAAGGATTTAGTTGTGCCCCCCCCCTCCAGTCCAAACTACAAACAGGCAGAAGAGCGTCAGCAGATTTTGGGGGCTGCAGCCTTGCTTTGGGGCCCCAGGAGGGGGTGGCCTGCAGGCAGCGTTGCTGAGCCCATCAGTCAAAGTTGCAGACACTCCATACAAGGTGCTCGCTTAACCCGACCCAGTGCTTCAGAACCATCCCCTCTCAGGCCCAGAAATGGGAGGAATTCACAGCCTCAAGCCCAGCTGTCTTTTTGCAGAAACTGGTCCCTAAGATTCCCAGTAAAGTGCAAAATACTTTTTTTTTTTTTTTTAATCCAGAAAAGAAAACAGTTGTTTGAAGGACTTCCTGATTTCAAAATGTACTACAAAACCACAGCAATCCAGACTTTCTGGCAACTGGCATAAAAGTAAGGTGGTATGTACAACAAGTAAGGGACTGTGAACTACAAGGTTGGCAGTTCGAGCCCACCAGCTGCTCCGTGGGAGAAAGATGAGGCTTTCTGCTCCTGCAAAGATGCACAGTCTTAGAAATCCTCTCCAGGGTCTCTATGAGTGGGAATTAAGGCGATGGCTCTGAACAACAACAATGTACAGCGACACCGAACTGAAAGTCCAGAAATAAGCCCACACATCTGTGGATCGGCTAATTTTCCTCCACAAAGGTGTCAATGTCAAGACAAGTCAAAGGGGAGAGAACTGTCTGTCTTTTCATCAGATGGTGCTGGGGCAGCTGGATAACCACAGGCAAAATAATGGTGTTGGACCCGAACGTCACACCACACACCAAATTTAACCCAAAGTGGACCAAAGACTTAAACATCAGAGTGAAAATAGTAAAGTTCTTAGAAGAAAACAGTGTGATTCTTTGTAACCTTGGACTGAGCTGTGGTTTCTTAACCGTGATGCCGAAAGCATAAGCAACCTAAGGGAAAAGTAGATAAATGGGGACTTCGTCCACAGTTTAAACTTTTGTGCTTCAAAGGACACTATCAAGAACTGAACAGACAACCCAGAGAATGGGGGAAATACTGACAAATCACGTATGGGGTAAGGGACCTAGCTGTACCCAGAATATTAAAAGAACTATTAACAAATTAATAAAGACTTAAAAACTCTATTTTAAAATGGGCAAATGATTTGAATAAATAGTTCTCTAAAAATGATGTGCAAATGGCCAATCAACCCATGAAAAGCCTCTCAGTATCATTAGAAATATCAAAATCACCGCGACACCACTAGGATTGTTGTTGTTGTTAAGTGTCATCGAGTCGGGTCTGACCCATAGCGACCCTGTACAGGGTTTCCGAGGGTGTAAATCCTTACGGGAGTAGAAAGCCTCATCTTTCTCCCGCGGAGCAGCTGGTAGTTTCGAACTGCTGACCTTATGGTTCGCAGCCCGATTTGTAACCACTACGCTACCAGAGCTCCTTATTCAAAAAAAGAAAAAAAGTCACAAATCCTAAATGTTGACAAGGAAATGGAGAAGTCGAAATCCCCATACCTTTGGTGGTGGGAATGAACAATCATCAGTCCAGCAGTGCTGCAGAAAATGCAATAGAAGAGCATGGCCGTATAAGCCAGCAAACCCACGGACAGGTGTATACACCCAAGAGAACAGAAAACCCATTGCGACGTAAGGACAAGGGAAGGGAATGAGTAGAGATGTGGGCGCAGTGCTGTTTGGGTTTTTAGTCTGGACCCACTCTATGAGGAGAGGACGTTTGTGGACAGAGATGTAGCTAGGGGGCTGGGAGGTCACTGGTTTGGCTGCCTTCACTGCATGGTGGTCCATATGGTCCCTGGTGCACTCCCCATCCTCACCCCAGCCTCAGAAACACAGCCACCTGGCACTGTTCCCAGTGAGGGACAGCAGTGGTCCCACCCGCTCAACCACGGGAAACTCATCCGGCATGGCTAGCGGCACTTTTCCCCAAATAGAGGCAGGATAAAGGCTTTTTCTGTAAGTCTGTGCTGGGAGTCCGGCAGCTATTTCTGGTTCCCTGTAAAAAACTACTGTTGCAGAATTTATCGTCTTTATTTCTGGATGGGAGTTGGGAAGAGGCTTTATTTATTCATTCATTTATTTATTTGGTGAGATGGTGGCTGATGTTCCTGTAAAAACTGTGTTTAACAACTTCTGGGAAACTAGGAAACTCCTGACTTTCCACTCTGCCACCCCCAGCACAGAATGGGGAAACTGAAGGGGCCTGGGAGATGGGTGAGCCCCAGTTGCGGGATTCCACAGCCCAGAGAAGAGGACAAAAGTTCAATGTTACACACAAGAGTTCAAGGCTACTGTAGGCCACTGCCCCGTCCACTCTGCTGCGCAGCCTCCCTTCTTAGCTGACAGGCGGCACCTGCTCAGAACTGGCAAGAAAACCAGAGGTCTAGTGACGAATGGGCAGATGCCAGAGGACAACTGGGATGGGGGACGAAGCAGAGGAGATGGCGCTGGGATACTGAATTTGAACCTGAATTAGTAAACTAGCTGCAACCTACAGCAAATGGTAAATCCTGCTCAGCCTGTCCTCATCTGTCGCCAGGAGGCTGCCTCACAAGTGAGTCCCAAAGAGCAGTAGGGAGGTCTGCAGTCCTGCTCACTGGGCCGGGGCCTCGTCTGACCTGGTCTCACAGTGTCCAGCCACGCTCTTCACAGGGCCAAAGGAAAGCCCTGGCTTGGCTCCGATGGACCCATCTACCCTCTTAGCCCAGACAAAGACCTTATTTGCTGATAAAGACCTAGGGCACATCCCAAGTTCGACTCTAACAACAGAGGAAGAAGGAGAGTGAGGAATGGGAGGAGAATATGGAACGTGTGGCTAATTGCCTCTAAGAACAAATACTTCTTTGTCATGAGACCAGAAGAACTGGATGGTGCCCATCTACCATGACTGAACGTGTTAATCCAAGATTCCACATCAAAAGGGGGCAGGGGGAGGCAGAACAGACTGTCAAATAATCAATCATGGAATCTAGACTTCCTGGAGCCACCGAAGCTGGCTTAGACCTAGAAACTATTGCCGTGAGATAATGTTTCAATCTTAAACTAAAAATATTCTCTGAAATCTTAAAACCAAGTAATAGTTTATCCTCATTAATAAAGAATGTCTGATCCCGCAATTTCTTCTACTTGGTATTTACCCACAAGAAATACAAGCCACAACACGAGTAGATATATGCACACCAATGTTCATAGCAGCAATATTTATAATAGCAAAAAGATGGAGACAGCCTAAGTGTCCATCAACTGAAGAATGGATAAACAAACTGTAG